AGATCAGTTTGTACATTTTTTAGCGTGCGCAGTGAAATAGCTCACGTTTTTATACACGCAAACATTTGATAGATCCGGCCCATAGAGAAGAAAACCAACTATAACATTAGTTATGTCACAAAACCCTAAATAATTGCTATACTCACTTCAGTATGCATAATGCTTAAAGTGATAATTTGGGGTTATACATCTGACCACTTTAGGGGCTTGCAGGGCATTGAAATTTAACTTCTAGACTGTAAGTTATTCCTTAGGAGTTGCTTTTGATATTGTAAAATTCTTTCCTGTCATGACTGTTAAAATCTTTCAATTTCACATCCTTAACCCCTGGAGTATTAGAAATAAATAGAGAATAGAAATACATCAACGATACACATTTTTTTCTTACAAAATGCCAGAAATGTGGAAAGACATAAAAGGAAGGATATAGTTATATAATATAATTATTTAATAAATTACATAATGTCCGTACGTTGTCCCCAAAATGTAAACCATAGACGACACTATGAGAACATAAAGAATAAAAAAAAAGAATGGAAACATCCGCCAATATCCAAAAATGTAAATATCTAAGGATGTAACTTACTTTAATGAACTAAATCTTAACTTTTATTTTGTTTGTACCCAGAAAAAGGCACTTTATGTAGTAGATTAAAATGCAATTGATAAAAACTCTTTAGTTCATGCGAGTGAATAATTATTCCTTGGTATTCATTTGTTGAAATCAAAAGTTATCATAGCTCTAGATAAGACTTCCTGTCATTCAATGTGAACATTGGACCTCCTGTTTCCTTTATGCTCAGTCGATCATTGCAGCAGCTGTTTCACTTTGCTGAGGACTACTCATCAGTAACATGACGGCCATAATTATTTTTTTGCCCCTGTTAGTATCATCAGGTGGGTGCAAATTTGGATTTCCTCTCAGAATCAATCCCTAAGAAAATATCTGAGTTTAAAAGATATTAAAACCCAACTATGTATCTGTTTCAGGTTTATCGGTTACAGTGCTTCAGTCTTCAGATCAGATTTCTCGCTCCGGTTCTGCAGCGTCGTTGGAGTGCAGAATGGGTGCAGGATATTCCATGAGCAGCTACACCATGGCCTGGTACCGACAGACCCTCCATGGAGCTCAAATAGAGTTTCTTCTGGCAGAATACGATGAAAATATTGACCGCTACCAGTCATCACTCGAAACAAAGAATAACAAGTTTTATCTAAACATTCCAGAGCTCAGTGTGAATGATAGCAGCACCTACTACTGTGCTGCTCGTCACAGTGATGCATGCAGACCTGACGCCTGTACAAATAACAGGGCTGTCTGTGACAGACAGCAGGCAGGAAGAATCTGTGGCTTGTCTGGTAATAAAACTCCCCTATGTTGTCATGTAAAAATGTTCCAATGTTTAAAATACTACACATATTTAGTAATAAAGTATGAATGAGGCAATTTATCAACATTAGTTAAATCCTAATACACTTAAAAGCTTATTGGGTTCTTGGGTTTTTATATATCAGGTTGTCGTTCACCACATCTGCTCCTAAACACTTTCTAAAGTGCTTAAATCTAAGCTAAATTATGCAGCTATACTTGGATCCAGCTTAATAACACTGTTACACTTTCAAATCTGACAAAAACTTAGATGATAGCTTGGAATAAATTGGTACTTTGTCTCCTGAAAGATCTCTACAGCTTAAATGTTTTACGGCACACGTTTCAGAATTAGTATCAGACAATCATGACATCAGTAAATGCAAAAATAGTTAAAAAAATTATTGTCTATGTAACTGATGTATAGATTTATATGTATATAAAACTCTATGAATTTATTCTTATTATTCGCCATGTTGCAACACCATCAGCCTGCTTAGGTCTTAATATGTTTTGATATATTGGATAACTATCAGCAGGCCATATCCTATAAGCATAAATTCAATTAAATTTCAATTCAGTTTATTTATATAATTTACAACACGTCATCTCAAGGCACTTTACAGTTCACCAGATCAGTCAAATTGATTAAAAGTTTTCTATCTAAGGAAAACCAGTTGATTGCGTCGACTCATTGACTTGAATGCAATTCCTCACACTAAGCATGCTTGTAGCGACAGTGGAGATGAAAAATTCCCTTTTAATAGGAAGAAACCTCCAGCAGAACCAGGCTCAGTGTGAGCGGCCATCTGCCGAGGACGACTGGGGTTGAAGGAGACAGAACAGAGATACAAAAAGCAACTGTAAAAGGTGGCCCCATCCGTGAAACATACAGCCAGGCAGAGGAGCTTGGGGCCAACTCCCATGTCAGAGGACGAAGAGAGCACATCCATCCAGTCACAGTCAGAGAAACAGGACTATAAATTATATCAGTAAGTAAAGTCAAGTACAAGTCAAATCAAGCTAACTTTTTCAGCGAACTTCAGCAATATAAATCAACTGAAAAGTGTCAGAGCAGTGGACTACTGGGCTATGTTAACTTTCAAAATCAGTCTTGATTTTAAAATGGGATGTTGGGGAATTTGGTACCGTTTAAACTGGCCAAACAGTTTCAGTGTTTCTATCTGGAGTTACGCTGGTTGGGTACGATCGGCTGCAACCGGCCTGTGTGTTCTGGCAAAAAAAAATATAAACTTTTAAAACTGCGTCAGCCAAACAGCTGTATGCATTTTCCTGCATTTTCCAGGTCTTCCAGTTGATTTAAGAAACCTGATCAACTGGGAAAATATTATTCCTCCTCCCCCATTGCTAATGCCAGAGTAGAAGAATGAAAAAGTCACTTAAAAGTGGGTTGCCCCCTGTCCCTTAAAAAAAAGGACCTGTCCCATATTAAGAAACAAAATTAGGTGTCTAAATTAATTCAGATTTGAATTAAATGTTTGCAAAATCAATTTACCAACACAAGAAAAGGTCAAAACAAATTAATATTGTCAGTAGGGTGGAAGACAATGCCTGGTAAAGAACTGTCCCTTATTTAAATTTTAACTCTCCTTAAAGGGGATCCTAGAAAGGAACATCACAACTTCATTATCAGCTTTACCTGAACCACCTTGGTACTTTACAGGCTTGTTTTGTTTGTATGACCACCATTGCGACTCGTGAAGTGGGACCAGCTAGAAGAGCGAGGAGGGCGGGAACGCTGGGACCCTTTTTTCCACCTGGATCCCCGCTCTTTTTCACCCTCCTTGTCCCTTCATTGTCATACAAACTTGCCCCTACTTCCTCACCGCTTCGGCCGTATCTCGACTCACAGCTACTTTGTGATTGTCCCTCTTGTGTTGTGGTGTGGAATAGCACAGACCATGCTTCAGAATTGAGCATAAATCAAAAATGTCTGCGTCATACCTGCGACAAGCTCACTGCGATACACCACTGCGGGATTCTAACCAGCCCTTTACCAACTTTCAGATTATTCTCAATACCAATCACCCACTACAGCATCTTATTATACCACCAGTGTCAGGGCTCCCGGGGAATAATTTTCTAGGCTACTCGTCAAAGAAAATGTTGATTCACAGCATCAAAGCCTTCTGCCGGGCCCCAGCGCCAAATCACTTATTTAATTTATGTCATTATCTGCTTCCATCTCCTTGAACCCCAGTCGAACTCTGCCAATGGCCGCTCACACTCTGATGGCCTCTCCTCCTCTCCACTCTCGCTACATGTATTCATGAGGGACTGCAGCTGATTTTTATTAGATCAAAACATTATAAACAATCTGTGTTACCTGTATAGATCAATTAAATAAAATAATACTTTTTTAATAACAGCTTTTATCTGTGTGAATCTCTCCAGGTCTAAATGGAAGAATCACCTCTGAGCAAAACAAAAACAAAACAGAAAAGCTACCTCTACCCGATGCCTGTGCTAATCAGTACCCTATTGTTTCCTCTTTGTCTCAGCAGCTCCACACACCCTGTTTTTCACCTGCCATGGCCAGGCTGGCCTAGAATGCTTTTATTCCCTTTGCCGTGTCTTGAAAACAATGTTGATTTAATTTGGGGTATGTTTGTCTTCTAATAAATTTTGATTAAAGATTATGTGAAACATAGGAAGTAAACAGCAAGAAGAAGAACTGTACTGGAAGGTGGGCAGTTCCAGAGTAGGTCCAAACCACAATGCCTTGACAAACCATGTGAAAGTTCGTATGAAAAGTTAGCAGTGATCTTGTTTTACCAAGATTCTTTTTATAAATGCTCAAACATCTTAACCAGCATCTTATATAGAGGATATCAGAACTGTAGCTTTTTGAAATGCCGCTATGCAAACCTACAGTATCTGATGTATCAACTTCACTTAAAATATTTTACAGAGAATCCCTTTTAAACAAACCACTTTCAATTTATATATTTATTATTTAAATTTCCTTGCATCTTACATTTGGCATGGCTACACCTTTTGAGTCCAGCAATGTCAGTTTGAGTGTGGCCTTGACAGTCAGATCTGTTAAAGACATCCACTCATAAGTTAATTTTTAAAATTTACAAAGACTAATTTGTAACACATTAAAGGCTTATAGACAATGAGAACTAGGAGTCTAAATGGTGTGTTTTTTTATCTGAATAACACTTAAATGATGGCTAAATGATCAAAGACAGCCTTCAGGTATCACTTGTCATAAACAGCTGTTTGTGATCTTTAGATGCACAGATCCTGCTTAGACTATGTGACTTGTTTGATCTAAACCCTCATTTTAACTTCCAGATCTTGGAAATTGCATCTCTTCATTGGCAGCTAGTGTAATTTATAGTATCATGCATTGGCATCTATCTATTATGCAACACTGACTACTGTTATAGTTTTTGTTGCAGTCTATGTAAACAATGCAGAAAAGTGTAAATTTAACATTAAAGGAGCATAGAGTAAGCTCCAGAGTTTTTGCAGGCATTTGCCCCCTCTAGCGACAAGTTGCTATGACACCAGTGTTGTGCCCTTAGAGCACAGAAAAAAAGAAAAAGAACCACAGTCTGCCACTGTGACTGCAGAGGCCTTAAGTTTAGAGGCATAATGTTATCTGGGTTAAGAACGTTATATTATTGTTATTTTGAGCAGAGAGCTGTATGTAACTTTTTACCAAAAAATTGGGAACTTCATTGGAGATCCTTACTTGTTAAAAGCTCAATCCATCTCTCATGAACTAACTTACTGAGCCTATAGAGGCCACTGTGGTAAATAGAGGAAAACTTATTTTATATGTAAGGTAATTAAATTTAATTATATTTACCTTTTAAACTTGCACAGTCCACCTTTATATGCATTGTCATCTGCTTAACCAATCTCCCATTAGAAAAGATTTATGATACAAATTCCAGAATTTGACTGGATATTCCTTAAAACCTTTACCTTATTTGTGGAAAACAATGAGGATAGTATATGTTCTCTTAGAAATATTTCAGCAATCTATTCTTGTAAATGCACATTTACATCATGATTTTTCAATAAATTAAGGAATCTATTGATTAACTTTGATGCAGTTGCAGCTTGTTGGCCCCTAGGAGTCTACAGCTGAACAAAAGAGATCTTTAAAAGTTTCCCTTGAACCAAACAAGAAAGTTTGTCATCAGTTGCAGAAGCTGAATCAGTTAGCTCTAGTTTTGTTTAGGTATAATGAATGCAGCAAAGAACCTGCTCCTGTTCACAGTAATAATCTGCTCTGGTAAGACGATTTATGTTAATGAATAGACCAGCTAGAATATTTTTCTCCATGAATCTAAGGTGGTTCTTTATTTGCAGGTTTTTCCATCGGTCTTGTAATTGATCAGCCCCCATTTAAACAGACTATAGATGGGGAACAGAATGTGGACTTGATATGCCAACAAGATGATGCTCAACAACTAAACATGTATTGGTACAGACACAGAAACGGTGGGATAATGGAATTAGTGGCTTATTCTGTTGGTAAAGATATTTCAACTATTGAAGCACCTTTCAACAAGTCCAAATACTCCATGATGCGCCCATCGACACTGACCACCACCCTGAAGATTCAACATGCTGAGGCTGGAGACTCTGCTGTGTATTATTGTGCTTCAAGCAAGGCACAGAGCTTCATGATACATCAACAGCTATACAAAAACCCCAGAACACTTCCACTGATGTGGAAATAAAATATGAAAGAAAACAAAAACATTAATTGACACACGTATTTCTGTCATGTTTCTGTAGAACCACAAAGCAGATCAGATAAGACAGCAGGTGTCGACCCAAGAGACATTTTCAGCATTATTCTTCTAGAGCTTTCAGCATTATTCTTCTAAAACATTTCACCTCTCTGATTGGATTACTTCAAGTGTTGATTTGCTTTGATCTTGGTGCAACTTGATTAAAAAGTGAAGAGCTACAATTAATGTTACAGGGACCTCTTGTGGCTATATGTATAATTGCAATTAGGGTAATTTGATTGATTCTCAAGACAAAATATATGCCTAACTGAAAAAATAAGACATTTTTATTAAATTATCATTCTAAATAATGTGCTATAAGTGTTTAAAGTTATTTATGGACTTTGGCTCAGCTTTTAACTCAATCCTTCCAGGGACTTCCTTGCCTTGTAGCCTCACAACCTGAGTTTATCTTTACCAATTAGCTCCTGCTGCAGTGACTACATAACCAATAAGCCCCAGGTTTTAAGATTAGGGAAAGTAACATCTGGCCCACAGATTTGACATGACTGATCTGCTATCCCATCACAACCATGTCATCCCAAGTCCCTTTACAGAGACAATCCAATCAAATCATTCTGTTAGATTGGTTTGAAGTTACCTTAAGAAAAGCAACAGATTTCAAATCAATGACTGCAGGATTTGGTCCTCCTAGAGCATGTGGCAAAGGCAGACATGCATTTACAATGTGTACAACAATCAACACAGAATGCATGCAGTGAGAGTGGAGAGGAAAAACTTCCTTTTAACAGATTCAACCTCAGCCAACTGCTGAGGCCGACTGGGGGTTCAAAGAGACAGAAACAGACACACAAAAGGATAATAGAAGCATAGGAGAGAAAAAGGACTAAACACTGAATGAAAAAAACAACAACTCTGCCTTGTATAATTTAAAGTATTGATGACTGCAGCCCAGCTGGGTTTTCTTTCCAGCATGTTGCCGCAGCCAAACAGGACAAAACCAGACGAAGCATATATAACATAGTGGATCTACAGGCTTAGACTTAACAACAAGGATAACATAGGGGACCACAGGAGGTCCAGGAACATTGAACACAGTCCTCTGTATGCATGGGGAGATGGTGGAGCATCTGGACAATAAAGCTCCTGAGAATTTAGATTTCTTCTAACCTATTCTGGAGTGAGAGCGCCTCACATCTGGTGACAAATGCCTAACAATGGCTCTCCTTTCTTAGAAAGCTGGAATTAAATGATTTCTCAACTGCCCTTTACATGATTGGTTAGAATTGAAAGTATTTGTGTCTCAGTGTGGCAGAGCGATACACTATACAGCACAGGAGAATGAGGACTTGGCACTGATGGAGCATCTGTCTACCCGATCTGGACTATTTGTGCTGCATGAATCCATGAAAGTGCCTGACATATTGCCACAGACTGCAGTGTTTTTCACGGCCCGATCAGGAAAACAACACAGGAACAACAGACTTAGAAACAGCTTCATTTCAAATGCTGTGAAGGCAATCAACCTTTGATGGTCCGAAAATCACGTCCCAGCTTACAATTATAAATAAACACTCCTGCTGACAATCGTGTGGAGCAGCAGCCCATTCTGACACAAGCTGCTCTTTTTATAAATACATTACCATGTTTTTTTTCTCCAAGGTTTATACATTCTAGATGTGTTTTTATTCTATTTTTTTATGAGTTAAACAGGTGTTTCATATTTTTGATTTTCTTCTATTTTCTCTTTTATGGTTTATTATAAGAATGCTTTTTTTAATTAGGTGCTTTTAATTTGTGTCTTAAGTGTTATGATCGTTTCTAAGCCAATATCTCCACAAAATGTCATAATGCTAACGTAATGACAGTATAGACTTTTTAAAATTTTTAAATTAATTGGTTAAATTCTATTTTTAAGGAACCTATTTCAATTTTTAGCTGTCACACTTTGAAGGAAGAGGGATTACATCAATCAGATTGCCTCTTTTCTTTATTCGAACTGATTGGCTAAAGAGCCTTGAACAGTTTTTATACAGTAAGTTTACTTATAAATGTGAAAGGATTTTATTCCAAAATTAAACATATTGTGTCTCCTTTTTATCATACCAACTGTTTTTTTCAAAATCCAACTAGGAATCATGAGAGCAACACTTTTTGTACTCATTATATACATCAGTGGATGTTTCTATCTTTTAAATGATTGGCTGAAGAGTCGTGACCAGCAGAGATGTCACTTCCTGTCAGTAACTTCAAACAAACAAAAACAAGCAGCAGCTTCCTGTCCTCTGTTCTGCCTTCTTTTCTTAGCTGTCACAGAAATAGCAGCAGCCAGCTTGGAGCTGCTCCACCGTCA